CTGATTAGACCTGGGGTGATCTGTCTGCGCAGAACGGTGCTGCAAATGAAGTAAAAGCTTTCATCTTGTCACAGCTGCGGCTGTAATTCATTACATTCTAATTACTCCCCAAGAAGAAATTAATGCAATAAGAAAAAAAATCTAGATTAACTTGCTCTTTTAGATTATGATGGAAATCGAGAAGATGTGGTTATACAAATATGTACCTAAATGTGAGTATAATCTGCCTTACTTGATGCTAAAAGCCTTTTTTACGACCCCATTTGCATATAGATGTCATCTCTGTAGAGATGACAGAGCTGCTAATGTCTGAATTAGAGGAAAATCTAAGAAGAAGCAGAGGTAGAATTCAGCATTATTTCACTTCTTTTTGCTGTCATGACTGAAGCCGGAGACATATGACTTTTGAGGTTGGCACAGATCGGAAAGACCGAGGTCGGCATTCACAAAGATTCTCGGAGTCCTCTCAGATCATCCCAATCTTAGCCTAAACGTTCCTGCCAAGCAGAGCTAGCGTCAGAGGGATTCATTCAGCTGCTGAGAAATGACGGAAACTCCCATCTCAGTGAGGAACCACTCCTGTGTGACTGAGCTCGTGGCTGGGTGTGATGCAGTCTTCTACATACTGTGACTTCATGTACTCACTGCTCAATGTGCGAGTGGCAGAGAAGCATCTTACCGGTGGCTTTGCTGAGTAGCCTTATCATTCTGGTATCAGGAAGAAGCCGCGCAATAGCAGCCGTAACGCCACACGCAGGTTGTTTGACAGCACTAAGACCCACCTCCTGCCTCTGATTGGTTGTTTCTGGTTAGCACTGGAAGACGGCTGTGGAGCTCAATTTCTTTTTATCTGTCTCATATTAAACTGTCGACATTGCGACAGTTTCAACAAATTTGTAGTAAAATAATGTTTTCATAAAATGTACTTACTGGAGATTTAAGGAGTTGACCTTTAAATAGTTTTTGGCATATTTTATGATCAGTTAGCATAGCTAACACTAACCTGGATATCTCCAACAGAATGCCAACGTTTCCAACTCTATTTAATGAAAAGCAAACTTAACAACTCAAAAAGATGTGGCAACTTTGTCACAATTGTTCAGCTTTTCTGTTATCTCCTAAAGGTCTGCTCTCTCTTGCTTTGTGGCAGCCAGAATGAGCTCCATGGATATCCGTGTCTTAGAAAACAAAGCTACATTAAATACCTTCTCAGACTACCTTCTCAGACTGAAAGTAGCTAACACAGAGACCTCTTCACCAACGAGCAGCAGCCGTCCTGACTAGAGCTGTTTTCAGCGTGACCTGCTCACTCTCTGCTGCCGGGTGTTTGCTGATTCTCATTGTCCAGCCGAACGCCCGTCAGGACGAATCACGCTGAAAATCCTACACTCACCTGTCGATTTCTCTGTGCAGCTCTGCCAATATGGAGCTCCATCATATTTATTTCCTCGCTGCGAAGAGCAGTAGATCGCATTGTTTGAGTAAGACACTCCATGTGCAGCAGGTTATTTATTCGATGTGCTTGAAAAGAATGTGCCATTAATTGATGGTGAGACAAAGAAAACCAGAATCTGTCCTGAATGTGAAAGAATCTCTTCTGAAGCAAAGGAACAAAAGGGCACACACCAAATATGAGTTGTGTTTTCAACGATGATGTGAAAGATTGAAATTATGTGCTGGCAAAGAGGAAAAGAATAAGAAAAAAAATCAATGTGTGATAAATGCACACAGTAACTGCATTTAGTTATATTTTCAGATTTATTAATGACCTGAATTACAAACACAGAAAAGAACATAGTGAAACTAACAACGCGGAAAGTTTGGGGCCGTTTCAAATACTGTTAATACCATAAATCTAAATTCTTATAAAAACATTATCACAATAGATAATAAGCATAAAGATAAATGCCTACCCCCATCTCTAAATAGAATTATTAACATCTAAAAGATTTGAAAATATTTAATCTAGTGTAGATATTCTCTGGAGAAAAACACATCGAAATACATGATGTCTGAGTCAGATGTAAAACTCTAAAGTCCATTTTGAGTTAGCTGGAGTTGAAGAGTTTTTATTATTTACAGGACTTTCCCTTTCCTCAGCCATGTTGTCTTTATTGATCCTACTTGTGTAGTTTCATATAATAAAGTAAAAACCCCTATAGTTTCACAGTAGCAACAAACCTATATGATTTCTGGAAGCGAGCCTGGAAAGCGTTGTTCCTTTAATCAGGTTTGGTGCAAACAGCAACAGGCCTGATTACCTTGGGCTTCGTATTGTCGTGTTTTGTCATGTAGATAAGCTTTTTTCCATTTTCATTTTGCTGTGAGTGGTAAACAGCACCAGATCTGTGCAGCAGATTGGTCAGTGAATTAAGCGGCTTCTTTAGTTCCGAAGTTTGGCCTGAGATACGATCAGCAAGGATAATTGTCCCTTTCTGGCAAAAAAAAAAAAAAAAAAAAAAACTGTTCTGCTGTTGGTTTCCATTTATCTGATTGTATCAGAGTTTCATCCCTGCTTCAGCCCGACTGTGTAGCATAAAATAATTAACTGCTAATGCGAACCGGGTCATTTAAAAAACTCAGCGCTTCAAAAACATACTAGCACCTTTACATCGTAGCATCTTTGGATTAATCCCTCATATTGATTTTCCAATTTAATCTTTATAAACTTCTGATAAATGTTACTTAAACAGCTTCTGTGTCCTGCTAAAAACCTTAGTTTGGATCGGTTAGCAATGCCTGGCAACTCACCCGCTTTTTCACAGCAGCTTACCCTAAAATGATGGAATTTAATGTGTAAAGGAGAAATATAAAATCACAATGTGATGCAGCGTACGACCATGAAAGGAAATGTCATGGAATGTGATTAAACTTTTCTAAAAGAAACCAATACATTAAACCTAATATGTGAAACCTGGCTTTATCTTACGTTAATAAATTGTAGAACATATTTGTTCATGTCGGGTTTAATTCATTGGTTGCACACAGGTGAGCTCCTTTCAGTCATCGTCAGATGACGACCACCAATTGGCCGGATCTCTGTTGAGTCACTTTAAAACTGGTGAAGACTTATGCAGACATGTTTTATGTCAAACATTTTTGTCACTTTGTGGAAATCATTTTTTCTTTTAAAGAATTTTTTTTGGTCATTTTTTTCTTTGTCAAAACTGACAAATTTTGCTGATCATGATTGATATGGAACAGGGTAAGACATCCAAAGGGATGAATATTTTTATAGAGACATTAGCTACTGAAATACAGCCTCTTTATACTTGTCTTCGACAAATTATTGTTCACATTTGAACAGCTGTAGGATGTCTCAGTAAAGCAGCAGTTTAGCTTCTCAGATGCATCTGCTTTCGAAATGTTTTAAGAAATAATTCAAGCAGCATATTTGGCTTCATTAATCTGAAGCACGCACGCAAGCATGAATTAAGCGAAGCCGTTCCTGGTCCAGCTCTCTCTTCTGAAAGGGCATAACTAGCAGATACATGAGTGGGCAGAAGGCCCGATGGGAAAAGACAGAATCAATATTTGAGAGCACAAACCACAGATCTTATTCAGGACGTTTAAATAAATATGTTTCCGAACATTGCCTCGCTGTTTTCCAAAGAAAAAAAAATAAAAATCCGACGTCTGTCTCAGAAAGTGCTTTCATGGAGTGACAATCCGCCAACTGACAGGTGGCGTTTCTTGGCTTCGACTTTGAGTTTTACCGTCAGCAGCGTAAAGAGAGATGATCGATACGACTGCTTAAGAACCATAGCTCTCATTCATACTGTAATCTCTCAAGTGACTTTGTACATAAGATGAGATACACCCCGAATCACTTGCTTTTTCAGAACTGAATCAAAACATAGGGAAGGAGTTCCATTGTTAACCCCACAGGTTGGTTTTTCCAAAGTATTGCATGTGAGTCAGCAGCTTGGGATCTAAATATAGTCTAATTAAGCTAAAAGCTTTACTGGCGTTGCCTCTGTGACTCTTTCTGCTCCAAACTCCTCTGCCTCACCGGAAACTTCTGACTAATGGGACACCCCTTCACTTTAATGTCGGGCCCCAAATAAGATTAATGAGCAGGCACATTTCTGTGGCGCCCACCTCATTCAATACCTCACCTGGCAGCGCTCACAGACTCTTACTGAGGTTTTCTATATGGTCCTGTTTGTCAACAAAAGCTGACTTGGGCTCGGAAAGTAAAGTACTGCAGCTTCAAACCCAAAAAAAAAAAAAAAACAGATTCAAACTTCTTGAATTCTTAGCATTTTGTCACGTTGTAACTTATGTGGACCAGCAGAAAGTAGTACATAATATGGTTTTCAAACTTTTTTTTTTTTTTTTTTTACAATGTTAGGTAAAAATTTGTTCAGCCTCCTTCATTGTAATACCACTAAAATACATTCGGGTGAAACCAGTTACCTTCATAAGTCACCAGTACAGTTGTCAACATGCAGCTGTGTGCAATTCAAACTTAAATCGGGGGGATTTTGACTGATTTGATGGAGGAGAAACAGGGTGAGGTTCTAAAACATTTTCCTAAACTTTGAATTTGTCATTTTAAATCGTTTCATGAAGCATCCCCAAAATCAAAACATTGCAGAGAACTCAGCTCAGGTGGAAATGACTGTTCACTGGACAACTGTTGCAGTAGTCGGGCATTCTGTAAACCTGGAGACAAGAAAGCTACGACTGAAAATAAGTTCCACAGCGTTCATGTTGCTCTGGTTACACAAGACCAGATTCCACTTTGTCGCCAACTTGCAAAATGTTATGAAAACCACAGTGAGCCCGCATATCACCTTGAATATCCCATCTCCACTGAGAAACACGGTGGTGTCTGCATAATGCTGCTATAATCAAAGTAAATTTAAGGGGGTAAAAATGGTCCAGTCAAAGTCCAAATAAATTGAGAATCCTTTGCAAGACTTGTGAATGGATGTCCACTAACTCTAACTCACTAAGTCTGTTTGCATTGCTAATTTTTTTCTTGTTGTTCTCAGGCTATGGGCATGCAGCGCCTGGGACCGATGCGGGGAAGGCCTTCTGCATGTTTTACGCTGTCCTCGGAATCCCTTTGACTCTCGTCATGTTCCAGAGCCTGGGCGAGAGGATGAACACGTTCGTCAAGTACCTCCTGAAACGCATCAAGAAGTGCTGCGGAATGCGCATCACGGATGTGTCCATGGAGAACATGGTGACGGTGGGATTTTTCTCCTGCATTGGCACGCTGTGCATCGGCGCCGCCGCGTTCTCCCACTACGAGGACTGGAGTTTCTTCCAGTCGTACTATTACTGTTTCATCACGCTAACAACAATAGGCTTCGGAGACTTTGTGGCCCTTCAAAAGAACCGGGCCCTCCAGAAGAAGCCCCTGTATGTGGCCTTTAGCTTCATGTACATCCTGGTGGGCCTGACGGTCATCGGAGCGTTCCTCAACCTGGTGGTTCTCCGCTTCCTGACTATGAACAGTGAGGATGAGCGGCGGGACGCCGAGGAACGTGCCTCTCTTGCCGGCAACCGCAACAGCATGATCATCCACATCCAGGACGAGTCGCTGCAGAGGAGCCGGCGGCGACGGGAGCCGTACAGGACGGAGATGAAGGACCTGCAGTCGGTGTGCCCGTGCATGCACTACCGTTTGCACGACTACGGCAGCTCTGGCGGCGGGATCGGAGGCCTGGGTTGTGCCTTTTCGCATCAGAACTCCTTCGGCTCGCAGCTGAACCCCAGTCAGTACTTTCGGTCGGTCTCCTACAGGATCGAGGAGATCTCGCCCAGCACCTTGAAGAACAGCCTCCTCCCGTCGCCCGTCAGTTCAGTTTCTCCCGGCCTTCACAGCTTCACGGACAATCACCAGCTCATGAGGAGGAGGAAATCCATCTGAGACTCGGCGCTCATCGGACCAGTGGACACATTTTATACACAAGGTCAAACATTTTCAATGCTGCTCTTCACCAAGATTTTTACTTTAGCACCTTTTACCTCCCTCCGCCCCCCAACTTCCACGAGTTTGGTTGTACGTACTTCTCTGTGAACGGCTAAGAAAGACTGGGTGGAACTGCAGGACTGGACCCGAACAGGATGCAAAGCATGAAGCATGGATGTCTATTTTTTCAAGAGTTGCTTAATTTAAAGAGACACGAGACAAACTACAACACCTTACTGATTACAGATTTACACAATAAAACGAATACATGAACTTTGGTTACGTACTTAATGGATGCACACTGGGAGAAATGCTATTTTTCAAAGGGAGTTTGCTTGTTTCACTTTAACTTAAAGAGATATTTCTTATGTGTTATCCCATTGCCTCGCTGCAGACAGAATGATCTAAAGCATCAGGTGTTATTTTCTATAAGCAATCATTTACTCTAATGGTTTCACCTCACGTTAAACCAAAATATTGTTGCCAATATTAGCATGACTTGGATGTCATTTACTTAATAGTGTGCCATGGGTTCGTGACCTTCTTTAGTCTTTTTTTCTCCATGGTTTCTGTGTAAGTGTCTTTTGTGTGTTAATCAAAGGATCATACTGCTGGTATTGATACTTCCTGCTGATCTACAAACACTGGGTTGGAACTCAATAGCTTTAACTTCACCTGTAGCCTTTTCACGTACATAGTGACCTAAAGGGAACCACAACATTACGACAGTTTTCTAGTTTCTTCCTATCAGAACAGTTGATTTTATTATTATTATTATTATTTCACAGACATTCATAACATCTTACTTAATATTTAGTACCACTATGGCTATTCAGATCTTGGCAGGTTCTCATCTTGAATGCATCGGTTGGCATGATGTACTCCCACTTCCAGTCAAAGTCCAAAAACATGCATGTTGGTTTAGTTGAGCTCAAATTAATAGCCAAGTGTGAGTTGGAGGCTTTATTGAATGTTTGTCATGGGGACCCATAAAACTAGAAAAACTTCTGAATTAAAAACAACCCAATTTAGATTCTTTATCCCCAAACAATTTCCTCATAGATCAACTATGGATCAATTCAGGTCTGATCTGAGTTCACACCACAGCGACAAATTATGGATTTGATCCATCAAGCCGGGTTAGGTTGTCAACTCAACTCACAAATGTCCAATGTGTGGGCTGGCAGAGAGCAGATTGGAAACAATGTCATGTTTTGAACTTCCAACAAGCTTGAGGTCAATTTACCTTTTCATCAATTTCAACCTGCATTTGTGCTTGTAACACTCGTTATACCACCATGCCTAACATTTTGTCATTTCGGTAGTTTCTACATGTACATGTTTATTTCTGTTGCTTTTGGTTGGATATTTTGTTATACACGTAAAAATGGGGGTGGGGAGCAAATGTTTCTAAAGTGGATCCAGATTTTTCCATTTGTTCTTACTGAAGAAGCATAAAATATTAACTGCCACAAACTCTCTTCCAAAATCTCATTGGCAGACAGCAGCAGTTCATACATTAAAACCTGTGTATGAAATGACCCAAACTGGAAAGGTTTGTAAAGGAGCAAATCAACCAGCTCGACGTCTTGGCAGTTCAACGTTTAATGAGACTTTTATTGACAATCAGTTCAATTTGGGTCACAAAGTTAATACACTGTATGGAATATTTTATAGAATATCGCCTTTCTATTTCGGCTTTACGGCCAATTCTTTGGCCAATCTTGAACTTAGCGACCACTAGCTTGTGCTACCAACGTAGCTAGTTAAAGCTAAAAAAGTCTTAAGTGAACAAATTTGCCTTCCAGGTTGAAGCATCGCCTTTCTTTTTTGACTTTTCAACCAGTTCTTTGGTCAAGGTGTCAATCTTGAAAACTCGCTAGCACCAGCTCCAGCTAGCTACTTAGCTAGCGGAGGCTAATGAAATCTTAAGTGTGAAGTATTGCCTTTCTATTTAGGTTTTACAGCCAATTCTTTGGCCACTGTGTGAGTTTTGAACCTAGCTTGCACTAGTTTGTGCTAGCTACTTCGCTAGTGGAGGCTAATAAAGTGTGAAGGGAGGAAACTTGTTCACTAGTGTGAACTAAAGCCATGAACTCTACACACTGACAGGAAAGACATTGTGAAGCAGGTCTGTCATGTCTTATTTCAGCCCGATGAACGGGTCCAATCAGAGCAGTCAGGATGTGATTTTATGTTCATCCTGGCAGTCTGAAGAATGGTTTCATATTAAACCAGAGGTTTTGTTATAACTACTTAGATTGCCAAACGGCATCAATTCAGCATTTTAGTGAAAGTAATATCCCAGCAGTTTTTTTGTTTTTAAAGATTAAGTGGGTACGGAGAATAAATAAATGCCTTAGGATGGTCGACGTGTCACGATAGACTGAGCTTTTTTTCCCCAGGTGTATGTTTCAGCCTCAACTAAATCTTACCTTCATTTACTGCGTTTCCATCCAGCTGTAGAGCAAATCAATTTGAAACCTTTCCGTCTGCTCTCATGCTAATGATATCCATTTAGGAGAACAAAATAAATAAGAAAGGCAACCCGAGCGACAGCGAGAGCCGCTTTGCAAGAACACAACTTTCCAAAAAGAGCAAATGATGCCAACCTTTTCTGATGCACAGTTCTATAATGCCCACATAAAAACTGAAAACAGAACTGAACTGCAAAAAATCATCCTGAGCCACATTTTTGTCTAAAAACATTCTGTAGCGATGAATGTCATAAAAAGGAAAGGATTTTAATTATGCATTTACTTTTTTATTTATTATTTTTTTCTCCCTCCCAGCGTGCCAGCACTACAGTACAAATAACAGAAATTGTTTTAAAGGTCCAATATTATGTAGAATCGACTTTTTTGAGCCTTACATCATGTTGCAAAGTTGTTGCCTCATCAAAAATGAACCTGGAGTTTTGCTTTGATTCTTTCATGATTGTTTTAGAAATCTCCCATGGCAACCATCCACCTGTGCAAAATGCCTGGGTGGACATTGCTCCGGCGCAGTTCCTCTTCAGAACTGCAAATTCCAAGGTTCAGAGCTTCTGCCTCACTCCTGGCTCTCAGACTAGCTCCTTCAGACTAGCCAGCAGCAATTAGCAAACACCTGGTGAATCTGGGCATCTGCTGAGCTCATTATAGGAACTGCTGCTCAGAGCAACGCTGGTAAAAACGTTGGTAAAGTGTTAATAGAGGAGAAATTAGCAGTTTTTAAAGAGACAGAGACCCAATTTCAAGTCATTAAAAAGGCCAGATTTGATATATACAACATTTTTATATCCACTGATTGTGCTATACAGTGGCACTATGGCTGGAAAACTCATTTTACTGCCCCTTTAAAGGCATTCTTGGATTGATGTGGTGTGATATTTAATCTGTCGAATTTGGGGGAAAAAAGGAGTTAAAACAATATCATTCAGGATGGTAAGCTGAATGTGTAATCTGCTTGCCAGAACTGTAGGTTCGAGATGTTGTTTGAAAAGGTGATTACTACAAATTTGAAAAACACTTTTTTCAATTTTTTTTCAGAATCAAAAAAAAAAAAAAATTACTGATTGCAGCAAGTGACTTGATTTTTGAAGGTAGTTTTTTGGGGGGAGAGGGTTTATGCATAGGTTTTTATTATTTTTTTTCACATTTTTAACCATCCGTCATCCACAACCGCCCGACGTCCCACCGCCTCGGGTGCAATATCTACCACCGGTTGCCTTTATTTGACATTTTGCTAGGCAGAAATTGGAGCGGAGCGTGAAGGAGAAGATGTGCAGAAAACAAACCAAGCCTGAAAAAGCTCCACAGAGCTGATGTGGTGCAGCGCCCCGTCAAACAGAGACACACGACCCACTCCACAGGCACGGAGAGCATCTGCTCTCTACCTGGAAGAATGGAGAGACGTGTTCTCGTGGAAAACACTGGTGTCCTTCTGTTTTCCAACTTGTTTTTGAGATCCCATGTGGGCAGTGTCTCCTACAAACTAGCCAAGGTTAAGAAGTCATGGTTGATATAAAAAAGCCTAAGTTTCTGGAAAATTCTGAGCTGCGTGTGGCCAGAGCAAACTTTACGCTTGACTCTCCCGTTTTCCATCCGAAGCGAAGAAGTTGGCTCTCAGTGGCTGCGTTTCCGTCCCAAATGTGGTCAGAACAAAGTCGATATGCAGCCGTCGTCGGAAAAACACAATTTTGGAATTGCGATATTTTATATGGATATTTTCAATAATTGAGAAATTAACACGTGAGTACGTTTGTTCACATGACAAGCCATTAAAAAACACGCCGCTCTTCATCCGCCTTCTACTTACTGTATTGTCTTCTTCTTCTTTGTGGTTTGTGCCAGTGACAACATCTGGCTGTTGATCATGTGACTCGTGTGATGTAATACAAGTATGTCCATCGCAGTTTTGCAAAACAAACCAACCACCTCATCTTGCAAAAACCCTCTTTTTTTCCCATCAAAAAATTTTAGTTTTTTTCAAAATTGCCGTGTTTCCATTAAACAAATTTATAATCGTTACTTCAGTTTCTGCAACTGGGGCATTTTGTTTGATACTTTGCATAAACTACTCCGCATGAGAGATGAATACTTTTGATGAAGGTTTATCAGGCACGGTGAGGTATTATGTACTTTTGCACGATTAGCCACAAAACACCTCAAAAGATTGTCAAAAAACTGCAAATCTTCCGGATGATAATGAAGTTCTCATCTTCTAGCATGCTGTCTGCAGAAGCCCATGGTTCCCTCTCCTTTGCCGTTTTGTCTCCCAGATGCGTATGGCGTGGCCTATGGTGGTCTGCAAAAGTTAGGTCCGATTCCAAAGTTCTTTGACCATGTGACTGTCCAGCTTCGGATATTCTAATTCTCACTACTCCAAAAATAAAAATGCATAAAAATCCATGCCACTCATTTTTTGACCAATGGTTGTATCGCCCAGATCTAAAATATTTCACTTGGTGTTTATTTTTGGAAAATGTCCCATATTTTCTGTTTGTCTACTTGAAAGAATGAAAAAATAAAAATCTGGGATTTTGGGGCAGAAAGGTAAAAATTGTATATTCAATGAAATGATGCCTTGACGGCTAAAGTTACATTTCAACTAATTAAGGTTGGTGAAGGAATAAAACAATGAAATAAAGCTTTATGTTCATCTCATCATTGAGCACAAAACTAAAGAAAAATTCCTTAACATCATTTACGTTTTTGATTTTCAGTAAGATTTTCAGTAAGGTGCAAGGATTAGAAAAAAATATGAAACTGTCTCATAAAACGTGAAGTGAGTCTTTTAAGGAAATCTGGAGAAACTACTGGCCTTTCAAAACCTTTTCTGCCATCAATCAGCTCAGCTATTCTGCCTTTAGTGTGTTAACACGTGTTTTTGTTTTTTACATTTCTACTTCGATGAATTAGCAGGTCCATTACAGCCACTAAAAATGTCAACCGAATGTATCAAATTGTCATAATCTGAAATGATCAGTTCAATCAGACCGATAGGAGTTAAGTGTGTATTTAAGATGTCATTTGCTTTCAATTTACTTCAGAAAAACTACTCCAAGTTGAATTCTAGGGGAATATATCAGCCATAATAAATCTGTGTTGTTGTTTTTTAACAAAGGAAACAAATGGCCTCTTTATGATGTAGATTGTTTTTCCGTCCCTCCCACATGGCTGCGCATTACTCAGATCGGTCAGCCATCATGCCACATGTCACACCGATGCTCCTCCACTGAATGTTACTCTCCAGCGCAGATGGGGAAGAGAGGAACGCCGGCATGCGCCGGTCGCTCCCAACAAACTGCCTCGTGTCCTTTGCCACGTGGCGTCAAGCAGCGTCAAGGTTCCCGCCAGTTTTACTGTCTTAACGCTTCACTTCGTCATTTTGCCGCCTCTGGAGACGTCGCTCTGTCAGCAGCGACGTGTTGTCTGATGACAGGGACAAAGAGACACAGATTGCACGACAACCTAGACGACACAAGACAACGGGGAAGGCGGCCTCCGTCGATGCAGTTTGTGTTTCTTGTACGTCGCCGTTGGTCGTTATTCCGCTCAGGATGTTGCGTGTCATCCCCCCTTTTTTTGTTTTTAATTCCAATCCTTGTTTAACAATAAGTTTTTTTAATTCTCTGTCACAATCTTGAAACTGATGTCTGTACAGATTCACTCCAATATCAGTTGCCTCTCTTCTCAAGACAAACATGGAGATTGTTGAGATTCTATTGAAGTAAAATGAATATTTTACAAATCTTTTATTTATTTTTTTCCCTCCCTTCGTTTGCTTTTCTGTTCCTTCTCTTTCTCGTCGAGTGTGTGTGTGTGTGTGTGTGTGTGTGTGTGTGTGTGTGTGCATGATTTGATGTGGGTGACTCACTGGGTTGACTGGCCCAGGTGATGCTATAACACACTTGAATAAAATAATGAGCCTCCTTCTGAATCCCTCTGTCTTGTTGTTGTAAATGACTCACGGCGGATCGTTGCGAGGAGCGAGCGCTCGCTTTTTTAAAAATTAAAGCCAGGTTTATTTGTGTGGCACATTCCAGCAACAAAGTGCTTCAAATACCACGAAACCATCACACAATAACCAATCACAAGACAAGCAGCAGACATCACATTTTGTAGAGTGTCGTCATCTATCATCAATCAAATGTACATCAGATGTCAATCAGTGTTCCAGTTATTGCCAATCAATCCCATCTCTAAACAGGTGATTTAATGATTTGTTATAAGGATTTAGAAGTAAACTATTACCACATTATTGAAACATCAGTTTTGTCTACCGCTCTGTGGACTGAATGACATTTATTCTGGTTCGGCAATGAAAACTGAATTGCTTTACTGTGTTCCTCAGTTTTTCTAAGTACATTTGAGGCTAAAAGGCTGAACTGCTCCTGCTGATGGAGATGAATACAAAGAGACTCAGAGTGATGCTGTGCAGCGGCTGTCTTAAAAATGAATACCAGTCTAGACATAAAAAACCTCCAGCAGGTCACCAGACGTTAGCTCAGACGTTACTAACCACATACAATTGCAAACTATTATCTCGCGCTAATGTCAGCTGTTAACTGTAAAAACAACTTGTCTTGCTCATCAAGGTCATCCCATCAGAAGAAGCTTGTTCTCTTTCCACTCCAAACTCAAGGTACGTGTTTACGACCCACATCTCTGCAGCGCCTTTGCTGCTGTTGAAGCTCATGAAGATTCCCAGTGGAGCAGGAAACAGAAGTCAGTTCACAAATCTGGACATTCAAATAAGATCTGTTTGTTTCGTTGGTATTTTTCTTTAACCACTTACTGACCCCAGAGTTACCTTCAAACCACAGTTTAGTGAAAATATGTGGCTTAACAAAGTAAAAAGTTAATTGTCACATCACACTATGTGCTACTGTTAGCATTTCCAGTTGGATGTTACTGTATATTTACAGCTGATCTGTGCTTTTTACCCCATTGGGATAAAAAAAAACTTATTATTCTACCATCCATTTAAAAATGTTCCGGCTGCTAGAGGGCAGAGATGTAAGAACTTTTTCATCAAAATGTCAAAGGTGGAAAAAAGTCAAGCTTTTGAAACTCAGGCATTTTCACGTTTTGTCCAGAAAATTTCTGAGCTCAAATTTTCTGAGTTTTTTTGGCAGAAATGTAACCTTCCTATTTTAAAAAAATAAAATAAAAATTTCCTAATTAGCTGTTGCACTAACAACAAAGTGTTTGTTTTTTGTCCTGTTCATTTTCTTTCAGACAAAAAAAAAAAGAAAAAAAAAAATAGAATGTTGTAAGTTGTTGCTTTGCCTGTTGCTGAGTCTCTCCTCCCTCAGTGGTCCGAGTCGTGCAGCTGGATGTTTCGGTGGCAGGATGAGCGCGCAGCATCCAGTTTTATCCCTTCCCACACGGCAGTAATTATACTGTCAGCCGTGAGCTGACAACTCAGATGGCGGCACAATAAGAGTCGTGGCAGAGGGGCGTTGAGGCCTTCGCTTGCCTGTAATTTTGCATCTTAAATGATCGTGTAAGAAGAGCCAAGTTGCCGTGCGGAGGATTGTCTCCACTGAGGCAGAGATATGATGAAGCTCAACAGTAAGCAGGTGTGCTGCTGTTTGCCACGGGACAACCAAGACAAAAAGAAAAAAGAATGATTTTTAAACCGACCCAGCCTTTCTTGCATGATGGGAAACACGCCGAGTAAAAGTCTCACTGCGCAAAAAATCTCTCTGCATCACTTTCCCTCTTTTTCCTGTAACGTGGGCTGATGGGAAAGTGGGGGAACTGCCTGAGCGTGATGAAGATCTGTAGATATTCCGGCAGCCAGCACACATCACATCAGCGCCTTATCTCACCCATCTTCACATATTTAGGCTGACAAATGACAGAAAGCAGAATTTGATCAAAGTTTAGCACCATGTGATTGCAGGCAGTATTAAGGGCATCCATCTGACATGCATATGCAGCACTTTCATCTTCAGTTGGTGTGAAGGTCAGCAATACGGTGGCGTATTAGCGGCATAGTAGATAAAAGGAGTACATTTTTGCCAAGAAAAAAACTCAGAAAATTTGAATTCAATCTCAGAAGCTCTCTGGACAAAACGAGGTAATTCCTGACTTTGAAAAGTCAGAAACTTGCGAGACAAATCTCAAAAGTTTTGAGATTAATCCTGAAAAATATCTAAAAAAAAAAAAAATCCATACTTTTTGACTCTGAAAATTGACTTTTTAAAAAGTTTAAAATGTTTGACTCTAGAAACTGAAGTTTTTTTCTTGAAAATTTTCTTATAGTAATCTCAAAATTTCCATTTTTTTTTTTCCTCTCTCAAATTTTTTATTTTTGGGGCACAGAAATTTCAGAATTTTTCCTTTAATATCTCTTTGAGTGTTTGGCAGAAATTTACAAAAAAAAAAAAAAAGACAATGAAAAGTTTCTCTAATATGCCGTGGTATAGGAGTCCTTCAGTAGATTGGGTTTATTTACAGAATTTGTACTAAATTTAGATCCTTGCAGTCATTTTGTAAGGCGACTAAAGAAGCACGAGTTCCTGTCATTATTACATAATTATAGATGGAAACTGTAACATACGGCAACCACAAACAAATGTGGGATAGCATTCCAGGCAAACTCACAATAGCAGTGTTTACTGTACAGCATCATGGTCAAAGACAAAAAGATGAAACAAATTAGAAATATGCTTAGTGGACAAATTTTGAATGAACCGATAGAAGAAGTAACTAACTGGACGCTGCAGCACAACTTTGTCACAACCTGGAGCAGCAATAAAAACAGCATCTGCTGCATTGTTAAGATAGTTTTCACAGTGTGTATCAGGATATATTAAGATATATTTGGTAATTGAACCATTAGGTATGTGTGTTTTCAGAGGGGCAGGTCTCAGGTTGTGGTTCCTAACCACCACCATAACCAGAGGTCCACTGTAGTAAAGAAAAAGCGTCACCACAGTGCATTCATGCTAACATTACTGCATAAATAGTTAGTATATAAAAAAAACATTATTCAAAGGGGCAGTAATGTGTATTTTCCAGGCATGTAGTGCCATTTTATAGCTCAATCAAATAACTATGTTAACTTCAGATGTTATAAGAAATGCTATGTATCAAATATGACTTAAGAGAAAATTGACTCTGCCTTGAAATTGGGCCTCTGCCTCTTTAAGACACTCCTTCTGAAACTCCGCCTTCAGGAAGTCATCACAGCATGGCTCCAGAATTAAACCTTTCACAACATTTTTACCAGCGCTGCTCTGAGAAATAGCTTCTATGATGAGCTCAGCAGATCCACCAACTGTTTGCTAACAGCTGCTGGCTAGTCTGAAGGAGCTGACTGGTGGGAGCGGAAGGGGGTGGCTGCTCTGTGAGGCGGCGATACAGGGTTGCTGCGTTTTTGGCTGAGCGAGAGACTAATTGAGCTCTCAAACATCAATCAATCAATCAAGTATATTTGTATAGCACTTTTCAGCAACAATGCAATTCAAGATGGTTTATGTCAAAGTACAAATACAAAGTCATGGAAGATACCACACAGTCAATAATTGAGAAAATGTTGGTCAGCGTTCAATTTATTGTGGTTCAAATGCAACTCTAAACAGATTGTAGTATAGTTTTAAGGGAGGTCAGTGCTTCAGCTGCTTTTCAACTTTCTGGAAGTTTGTTCCAGATTTGTTGATGAAAGAATCAAGATAGCACTCGAGGTACATTTAACTCCAGGTATATTTTACTCCAGGTACATTTTACTCCAGGTACGTTTTACTCCAGGTACATTTTACTCCAGCTATATTTTACTTCCGGTATGCTTTAATCTATTCAAAGCAATCCTTAAATTAACATACAACATCTGCCTCATTGTTATGCCATGTTTTATTAAAATCTCCAATAACACTCCATCAAATATCAGAAAGAAATGAAGATTTTAAATTTTATTCCAAGCTGTTATGTTGTCCCCCTCGTACGATGACGCCCAAGGCAGAGAGCCATAATACCACCTCTGGGAGTTCAGGAATTCAGTCCGAGTTATGAGCTTTGCCTGTCTGCATGTTTGCCAGGATAAAATAAAACCCCAGGTGGTGACGAGGAGCGGACTGACCTCAGCGGGATCTTCACCGCCAGATATCTGTCGATCGCGATGGCCAGCAGGCTGAAGATGGAGCTCTGCGTGAGTACCAGCACGAAACAGGCGACGGTGTGGAGCAGAAAAGCCTGGAAATCAGCCGGGAATGGGTTTTGGTCTCTGAGCCGTCGGGCGGCACAGCATTGGAAACGGATTAGCGGAAAACACAGGATGAGCTCAGGAACCGTGCTCAATGGCGCTCCGAGTGAAATCACTGCTGCGTCCTAAAGTTAAATCTCTACCAGGACTCAAGAGCTCCCTGATGTTGCAACTTTTACGGAAAATCAAAGCGTAGGATCAAGTTAGACCAACGTGGTCCATTTATTTTATCACACCTTTATAGTAATCTGTGACTTAAATAAATAAATAAGAAAATATAGAATAAATAAGAAAAACCTGCTGCACTAATACCGATTTCTGATTTTTCTTTGTGTCTTGCTCAATTCAGTTTGACTCTCTGTTTAAGTAACATTCAAATTTATAGAATATGATTGAAAATAATCCATCCATCCATCCATCCATGTTCTTACGGCCTAGTATGGGGTCAGGAAGTGTGCTGGTACCTATCTCCAGCGGTCAACAAGTCAGAGGCTGGGTCACCCTGGACAGGTCACAGTTCCAGTGCAGGGAAACAGAGACACACGCATACACTCATTAAGGAGAATTTAGAGAACCCACTTAACAGTCATACTTTTGGACTCTGTGGGAGGAAGCCGGAGTACCGGGAGAGAACCCACCATGCACAGGGAGATTATGCAAACTCCATGCGGAAAGAACCCGGGCCGAGAATTGAACCCAGTACCATCAAACTGCAAGGCAACAGTGGTACGAACTATGCATCCCTTTTTAAGTAACATTTAAAGTGATCAAATATGACTGAAAATAATTGTTAAGGTAATTATTG